TTTTTGCACCTAAATATTAATGTTTTACACTAAAACAAGAACGCTAGAGAACGCTACACAATGAAATTCTCAAGGCCCCGGATAAACTATGGTTTTATGATGAAAATGCTTTGCAGCTAGGATATTAAGGTGCTCCAAATGAAAAGATGTCGGGGAAAAGTCAAAGACTCTAAACAACCTGATGAGGCCAAGTAGTTCTTGATATATATATATATATATATATATATATATATATATATATATATATATATATATATATATATATATATATATATATATATATATATATATATATATATATATATATATATATATATATATATATATATATTTATATATATATAAATATATACATATTTATATATATATATAAAAGTTATGTTAATAAAGTTCAATTTTATTTTACCTTATATGTTTATATTCACAATATCAAAGAAATTAAAAGTACATAAAATAAAGAAAATAACGTCTTAACAATCCATGATCTTACCTAAAATGACTACCTAAACAATTATAACCACTTCTGGAGGCCAAAAAGTTGAATTTACCAACCTTAATTACCTATATTTAAACATACAATTGTTCCATCTAATTGAAAAACTATTGAAACATCCTAGAACTACTCTTGACCGGCCCTAAAATAACCACCTGTACAATTATGACCACTCCCAGAAACCAAGTATGCCCATATTTGAATTCCCCGATTTTAGTTACCTATATTTAGACATATAACATGTCCCATCTAATTGAAAAACCATCAGAATATTCCAGGACCACCCTTGACCTCTAAAATGACCACTTGAATATTCATAATCACTCCTAAAGACCAAAAACGCCCAAATTTGAATTCCTTGACCATAATTACCAAAATTTAAACAAACCCATAAAATTTAAAAATCATCAAGACATTTTATGACCACTCCAAACTCAAAAGTAGAGCCCGAAAAAGAGTTTCTTGGACCCAATAACTCCAATAAACATAAATGATATGTTTATATTTAACCCATAAATAGTTTTGTCACTTTTAGACAATTCTTGCCCATTGTGCACTGCGCCACGGCTGCACATGTTAATAAATTCGCGTACCACAGTTTCTTAAACACTTTGAAGTTTAATTTTATTTCAAAGCATTTTTAAAAGCCATTTTTAATATAGATTTTCTAAAATTTACAAACAATATTTCAGTGTGAGAGCATTTTTAAAAAAGCGAAGTAAACAAAATTACTAAATGCAAACCAGTCACGTTAATGTAACTATCAAAGGAGTCTGTACAAGTGTTTAAAGATAATGAAAAAATAATTCAACCCAAAAAGATTTTTTACAAGCAAATGATACCATTACCATTATACTAACAGTTTTTAGACTTTAGTATAAAAGTAAGAGATTACAAGAATTTGCTTTCGCCAAAGGACACAAAATACCTTCCAGTTCAATTTCTATTAGAAATGTTTTACTAGCTCATGCTAAAGACGTTAAGGATCAATTAACAGGTAAATTAAAAGACAAGAAAGCTAACAATGTTAGATTTAGCCTAATACTTGAAGAATACACTTCAATTAAAAACTCGTTGTTTTATAAACACTAATGTGCTCAAGTATTTATAATCTTGGACTTGTACGTGTTATTAGGAGTATGCTATCTGAAAAAGCTATTGAGATCGTGAGCAATAGGTTGAATGAACTTAAACTGTAGTTAAATAATAAAATTGTTTGTATATCTACAGACGGTGCATCTGTTATGATTAAACTTGGTTGTTTAATCAAGTCACTACATCACATCTGCTATGCCCATGCAATCCGTTTAGCAGTGAGGGATATATGTAAAACCAACTGAATTTTAGACTAAAACGACAATATTGATTTAATAATTAAGATGGCAGTAAAGAGCTTAATCATAATGAAAAGCTTAATCAAGAATAAGAGTACAAGTCTTGGAGAGGCACAAAAGAAAACAGACTTTAAATTTGCAAGTTTAAATCATTAGTTTAACATTCAAAACTCTAGAAGTTGATGGGTTATTGCCGGCATTTTTTCACTTTGGTTTTTTCATTAAAATTGATTTCCATAAGTTATAGGTTCATTTTAATCATGGATTGATAATTATAACACAGCAAAGTTAGAAAAAGGAACAATAGTCCTTGAAGTCTTGTAGATTTATTTGAATAGCATTTTATATATATTAACATATTATTTAATAATATATCCTATTATTATTAAATCCTTATTAGCATAAGGATATGGTCTTTTTCCGTCAACTATATCGAGAGTCCTTATAAAAACAAGTGTACTATAAAAATTAGCTACCCTATTGAGCTTTTTAATTTAATTATGCGCATGATCCACATTCTGGATACATAAATGATTAGGAAGAAAGTATTTTGTAGTGTTTAAGTTAATGCTAGGAATCTCCCTTAAAAAATGTAACACACTATTTGATATTATACTGTTCCGATTTTGAAGGACTCAGCAATCAGACCAAGTAATTAAATTGTTCATTTCGCTTTTCATCTGTCACATCATCCAATATCTTGCAAAAGACACTAAAAAATACTTACTGGTATTGTCCACCATTGATTCAGTCCATAATGCTCAGTATTGTTGTTTGGTTGTTGTATATTATGCTGCCAAATTAATCACACTTTATTTCAAATAAAAAATTTCGTTTCCAACAATATTTTCTAAATTTAGAGTAATTTTAAATCATTTTTAAAAACCATTTTTATTTATAACACAGCCTGCTTTTTAACATTGCTAATAAACATTTTGTTACAAATTGTTCAATTTTTTTAATATTACTAATGTAAATGATGTAGTAAATTAAAATATTGTTTTATTCATCAACTATATTCGAAGTTATACATTCATTAACTGACCATTAGAAATAAGCATTGGGTAATGAACATGTATGACTGACCGTTGGAGGCAAAACACATCCATCCATAAACATCCTCACATCAATTGTCAGTCAAGAATATGCGCGGCAAAATGTACTCACATCGGCTAACGGTAAGTTTGTAAGAAGACTAAATTGTCATTATTTAAATTTAAAAAGAGTTTTACCTTATAAAAGCCATTTACTTTTGTTTTTAATAGTTATTTCAACGCTGATAGGAACCAGTACTTTTTGTTGTGCAATTTAACGTTATAAAATATTTATAAAAAAAATTTTAAATTTTTTGTGATTTTTTTTACATTAAAGTCAAATTGGACACTATACTGAGACGAATGTTTATATAAATTTTTTGATAAGCATGAAATTCTCATAATATTTAACTGAAAAAAAAGTAGAATAGCCTGCAGTTTAGGTTTACTCTGTTAATTGGAACCTTTTTGAAACTAAATGTTAGGGACGACTGAATAAGCGCAAATTTCATAATTCGATCTGGCATAAGTGCGAATGGCGTAAGTGCAAACTAGCATAAGTGCGAATTGGCATAAATGCGAACTGGCATAAATGTGAAATAGTTACAAAAACTGACACAAGTACGAATTAGCATAAGTGCGCCAAAAGATTTTGCAAATATTGGCATAAGTGCGAATTGTCATGATCAAAAGATTTTGCAAACATTGGCATTAGTGTAAATTGCCAAAATCAAAAAAATTTGCAAAAATTGGCGATGTGGCATAAGTACAAACTGGCATAAGTACGAACTGGCATAAGTACGAATTGGCAAAAGTTCCCACACACACACACCCTTCATCGCGCCGGCCTTATATGCAAAATTGACTAATTTTCAAAGTTGGTTAAATCAATGCAGGTCTATAAAATAATTGGTTGAATCAATGCAGGCCTAAATAATAATTTGTTGAATCATTGCAGGCTTAAAAAGTAATTGTTGCATCTATGCAATGATGCAACGCATCAATGCAAGCAAAGTAATTGGTTGAATCAATGGAGACCTATAAAGTAATTGCGTACAAAATCTGATTAAATTAAAAAATTGACTAGACTAAAGTAAAGTATTTTTTGCAATTTGTTATCAAAAAAAGATACAAAGCACTTATTGCATAAGATATTTTTTGTTTCAATAAGACCTCCATGGTTTCTCCACGATAGATTTTCATTAAATAACTCCCAAAAATGGTATTATTTTAACGTTTTATTTGAATTTTATTAATGAGCAGATTTGGTAACTTAATGGAAGATTAATTGTCTTGTTTTATAAGAGTAAATTTTTTTCACAATTTAGAGATTATTTGTTATGAACCAGAAGCTTAAATTTTTAAGCTCATTTTTTACAGTTTTAAACAAAGTCTTTGCATCAGAACGATTAAAGAGTAAATTTGTACCGTTATTATACATAATTGTAGATATCATTGTTGTATATTTTTGAGAATCTTTATGCATATCGTTATTATATATTAAAAAGATCAGACCTAAGTATTACTTACTGTTCGACAAATAAATGTTCACCCTATTATACCGTAATATTTTAGCTTGGTAAGTAAATTACCGTGGTCGACTGTATCAAACATTTTGGATAGATTAATAAATACTCCAAATACCATTTTGCTACTATTAAAGAATAAATATAAATTTTTCACAAGATCAATAATAGCATGTTTATGCAACTATTATTTTAAAATTCAAATTAATTTTTGTTTAATATAAAAGTATGTTTAATGCAAGTAACTAATAACGCTATTATAAATTTTTCTCTCAAATGTTTTTGAAAATATTCAAGAATAGAAATAGGACGGTAGTGAAAAACTCTTATTTAGTTATCTATTAATTATTATTTTAGTAAAGGGTTTCATTCCCAAAAATTTATTAAATATTTTTATTGGCTGCACAATTTTATTCATTTGAGAAAAAACTCAAATCAATACATTTTTTTTTATCAAATGTTAGATGATTGAGAATATTCTTTTCTAACAGTAATCAGAGGTTTTTATTGGGTAATTAAAAACAAATAAATTCATGACAAGAAATATTCAAAAATAAAAAAAGATTACAATTTCTTTCAAATTACAAATATTTGTAAAGTCTTAATTTCTTTAAAAATTAAAAAAGATTTCTTTAACAATAATATCATTTTAAAGCTATAATAAAGAATAACCGTGTTTAACAATAATTATTAAAACAGTAGTTAAACGCAGATCATCAAAAACTAAATATTTTGACAAGTTGCACCATATGTTATTTCCCTCTGCCTCTACTTCCACCTCCACCACCGCCTCCACCACCACCTCCACTTCTGCTACCACCCCTACTTCTGCTGCCTCCCCCGCCACCGCCTCCCCCGCCACCACTTCTACTTCTACTACCACCTCCTCCTCCGCCACCGCCTCCTCTTGGGTCATCAACATTATTTCTAAACCAAAAATAAAATATAATAATTATTATACTAACAATTTTTTTTTGTGTGTGTATATTTATCTTTAATTACTAACAAAAAATAACTTAAATGATAAAAATAAGCCTACGTTTCTCTTTTCCCATAGCCATATCCACCTCCGTATCCTCCACTGTAGTCCCTACCATATTTTCCTCCGTAACCTCCACCATAATCATTCATTTGATTTTTGTCGAACTAAATAAAAAATTTTTAAGAAGTTTTAAAAATATGTATTTTTAAAATTTTGATAAAGTTACCCGATCTTAAATGGTAGATTAATTAAAAAACAAGCAAGTATAAGATTCTTAAAAATTGATGAAAATTTATCTTGGCTTACTTACACAAAATATATCCAGTCTAAAATCACTAAAGTTATTGGTATATTGAATCGAGTTTGTTCATACGCCTACATATAAAGTCTCAAAAAGATATACTTTTGACAAATTCATTGCTTCAACAGTCATGCAACCATGTTAAGGTGGACAAGTGAACAATATCAAAACTTCAAAAATGTATGGCTCACAAAAACATGCTAGCAGAATTATTTACCTTATAGAAAATCTTGAATAAGCTAAATCTTTAAGAATGGTACGAGAATCATAAATTTATTTGAAATATCTATCATCTTTTTATTTTTATGTATTGGTACAATTTCTCTCCTGCAAACATTAATAAAATGTTTCAATTAAAGTTATTAAAATTATAAAGGATTCAAATAAAAGTTTTTAAATTTTTTTAAGTTCTAACAAAAACTTTTTAAAAGTTAAATAGCATAAAAGTTTTTCAAGTTTTAAAAACTTTAAGTTACTCTGAAGTTATTTTATCTTGTTTAAGTTGTGTTTTTTTGTCTATGTTTGATTTGCATATCAGCGAAGTACTTTTATGCTTTTTTGGGTTTTTTTAATATATTTATTATAATTTACTTAATATAATTATTATAATTTACTTAATATAATTAGTATAATTTATTAAAACTTCATATAGAGGTAATATGAAAAGACTTCAATTACGCGTTGTTATCTTTGAGTCCGTTTCTGAATAAATGGGTTTGAAAAATTTATAAATTAAGTTAAAAAGTAAATAGAAACCTCATAACTGGATTCATCCTCGTTATCGTTGGCTTTATCTCTAAAGATAATTTTTATATTTTTTTAACGCTTTAAAAAATTTATAAAAACTTAAAATGTATAAATAAAAGTAATACTCACATTATATCGGCGACAAATTTATCTTTGAAATCATTATTTTGAGCTGCTTTGCCTAGCTAAACATTTTAATTATTGATATCGTCATAGTTATAAGAAATTCTATTTCTTACGACTATGATAATGTTAATAATTATTAATAATAACAAATATTTGCAAGATTTTGTTTAAAAATTATATGATAGTATTTATAAAACGCTTACAATCTATCCTATTGCTATAATATATTTATATGTTAATGTATTTTATTTATCATTATTATATATTTGTATCAATAATATACTTATGTATTAAAACTATTTTAGTTACTCACTTGAAAGAAAATTATCAAAAGAACAAATACACTGAGATGAACCATTCTTCATGAATAATATTTTTTGTTTGCAATTAATTTTCTATCCTTTTTATCCACTACACAGACCAATTATAGAATTACCCCAAAAGTAATTTATTTAACCATAAACTACTAGTAACAAGAAAATAGTAAATTTTTATCAAAAGAAAGCATCTAGATTGACACACAAACCATTAAGATTTGTTAAAGCTATTAATACACCCCCTAAACTACATCGCTAGAGTTTTTATTGTTGAGCGTGTTTGAGTGGGTCGTATAATGGCCAACAATCAATGTATATATTTAATGAGTTAAAGCAATATTTAATATTTCTAGAAAATATGGCAATTTCAACTAATTGGCGTTGGCCGTAAAGCTGGCAGTGAAATTTTTGCCTTTTGCTGTCAGAAGAAATTAAATATTTTCAACGTTTGTTTTTAAATTAAAGTGATTCCTCTAATTTACAAAAAAATATAACAACTGTTGAGTAAAAACATTTTTACTTTCAAACTTGGTATAGGAGCGCATATTACCTGTATCTAGTGCACGAGACTTTTTTTTAATATAAAATACCATTTCTACTAAAACTTATGCTTCAAAATAACTATATTTTTAAAAACCTGCTTATAAAATAATATTCTTAGTTTAAAAGTAACTTACCACTAAATTCTTTTTTTTAATTTCAAGCACAAGTAATTCAAAAGATGTTTATCTCCTACAAGTAATTCAAAAGATGTTTTATCTGCTACAATTTTATTGCGCAAAAATATCAAAAATAAAGGTATAAATCTTTATTTTTGATACTTTAATTTTGATATTTTAATTTTTAAATATTTGTTTCTATTTTAACCAACAGATTTAGAATAAAGATATAATTGTATATAAATAATAATATATATATTCTTGTTAAACTAACTAAATGTTAAACTAATCTTCGTGTTATATTTTGCTTTACAATGCTCTTATATCCAAAGATATTGTTGGATTAGCTTAACAGGCAAAAATAATCATAAAAAACAAAAAAAAGTCATCACTGTTGGATAACATGGTTGTAAAAATTCTGTAACTATTTTAAATAATGAATGTTGTATTAAATTACTTGCTTACTAAAATAATTTTTTTAAAAACCTCTACCTCTATCTTTATGTTATTTTTATCTAATAAAGTTTTTTATATAAAACTCAATCTTTATTTTTTTTTTCTTTTTATTTTTGTGTTATCTGATGCTTTATTATTTGTGTGTTATCTGATGCTTTATTATTTGAATTTTGGGTGCAGCATTGGTTAAATTTATCAATGAAACACCATGGTCTGTGTTCAATTTTTTAAATACTTAAACACGTTTAAAACTACCATTTTTGAGTTGAAAGGTGTTGTATTGTTTCGTTTTAACTTAAGAATTAACCTCTCTTTAAAGTCATGTTTAGGATGCTTAATCCAGGTAATATTATTCAGGGACTTGTTAGCATTTTGTATTTTTCCGTGGGTTTACTTGCACAGAAACTCTTCATTTGAAAATTCTTATATAATCTTATGCAATATAGGAAATATTCATGCTGGTAAATTTATCGTCTTTGTGTCTGTTAATTTTAGTTTTATTAAATTAGTGCCATGATGAAGGATAACAATTAATTGCTTTTTCAATGCTTTTTTTTTCACCATTTAAGGCGCACAATGCGTAAAGATATCAAGTCTTCGAAACTAGTAAAGATGTCAATTTTTTGAATCTAGTAAAGATGTCAATTTTAAAACTCAAAAACAACTTTTTTTATTCTGGATCAATCACCATATAAAAAAGAATTACAACATTTTTTTTTTGACTTTATTATAAAAAGTGTGTTTTAAAATTACGGAAAAGGTTCCAAATCTTTGTACTGAATAGAAAGTCTTTTTTTTTTGATTTTCGAACCTCCTGTCAAAAAGTACTTACTCCTGTCAAAATACTTTTCAATCTTTTAAACTTTTATTCATAAAAATATTTGATAGAAATTAAAAATTTTCGATTTAAATTTTTAACGTAATACATATCACTTAAGAGTTGTCTATAATATACGCAAGCCAATATTTTAGATTATTGTTATACTAATAAACAACTTTTTTTTTTAAGTTTTAAGTTAAACTAATTTTTTTTTTTGGTTGTTCTTAAAAACATGTTTTGTGCAAAGTTTGCTAAAACGTCTGCCATTTACAAAAATATAAAAATGATTTTTCTTATTCAGAAGATTTTTCTTTCCTCTATTCAGGTTGTTCAGAATGATAATTTCGATTGACTGTTTTGAGTGATATTTTTCGATATTTACATTGATACAACATTTATTATTTACAACACTTACAGAATTTTTACAAAAATATTTTCCAACAACTTATCTTGATGCCTTTTTTTTTGTTATTTCTAAAAAAAGTTTTAGGTACCCCAAAAAAATCTAACGGTCTTTATCTTTGGAAGTTCACGCCTCCTGCCTTACCGAATACACGAAATATGCCTAAAGCTTGCATCGAACCCTGGATCTATTGCTTCTAAATCAAAATGATTGAGCATTTGTAAATGAAAGTTAGGAAAATTGCGAAAAAAAATCTAAGATTTACTTAAAACAAAACTTAAACTACATGGCAATTTTGTTGTTCAACAGGCGCATTGAGTAGGAAATATATATGAATGTGAAAATAATAAAAAAGCTTTTAAATAAATGAAACTTTTAATTACAAAACAGCTATTCTAGACACAGTGCCGTAGCCAGTGGGGTGGAAGGCCCCCTCCCATCAAAACCTGTCATTAGGATCCCAAAATCATAAAAAGCCATTATTAGGTAATAATGGAAGAAAAAAGGAAACTCTTTTAATTTGCAAAAAGGCCATTTAACATAGTTAGTTCTTGTGGCTAACCAATAGGGTGGAGGGCTAACTAGTTATAAGATTATACAATGATAAGTCAAACGAATGGTCAAACTTTAAGAATTAAAAGTTTTTATTAGAATAATTCAGGTAACATAAACACTTTTAAACTACAACATCGTTTGTTAGACAATTTAACAGATTCGCTTTGATTATATATATACATATATATTTTTGTTTCTCCTTTAATCTTGATTTTTCGAAAAAAACGAAGTCACCAAAATTTATGTTCTGGTTATATGGCAAATAAACGTACTTTTTAAAAATTATAAATTAAGAAAATTCGAAAATACACCAGTATTTGTACAATACTTGTAAATAGAAGACATTGCCGTGCATGTTTGTCTACTTTGAAAAACAAACTATTAAACAATCTTGATCTCCAACACACATTTATTTAACCAGTTCATCTAACTCAAAAAACTTCTGGTAATTGTAAGACTTATTTAGGTGTTGCAATTATTTGGGCATTGGTATCATTTAAATGTCATGTTAATTCTAAAGACTTTAAATTTAGAACATTAAAAAAATAACATTTTCCATCTAAAATACCTATGGTTATAAAATTGGTTCTATGGTTTTCTCAATTTTGAAAAACAAACTTATGAAATCTACTTAGTTAATTTAAGATTTTATAATTTTTTTGGATGCAAAGTAAATTATAATATTATATTATAATAAGATATATACAACAACTAAAAAAAACTATTGCAAAATAAAAGTTCAAAACAAAAATGCAAAGTCGTGAATAACCAAAAACAACAAACTTCTCACTACAAGTGGTGAATGGCCAAGAAAAAAACAACCAACTAACTTACAACTCTTGTGACTAAATTGCTCAGTTGTTTAAAGCGTTGAACGAATTGTTAAAACGCGTACTGTTGTGTAATACGAGTTCAAATCCAGTCAGCGTTTGAGTTGTACGCCAATTCAGCGTTTGAGTTGTACTTCGGTATGCAAAAATGTTGGTCAATGGCGGACGCTGCTTTTAGATTAGTCTTTATGAATCTTTTTAGCTGTTACAATGTTAATCCAACAATATCTTTGGATATAAAAGCATTTTATAGCAAAATATAGAATGAAATTCAAATAAATAAAAATAAACTTCAACTAAAACTTGAGTTTGGAGTCCAAACCGTACTCGGGGTAGAACATCTACGCAAACCCGTCTTTGTTAAAAAACGGACTTGCACTCTAAAAATTGGGAAATTTCAACCTTAAGGTAGTCTATGTGACTTATACCTTACCCTTAATAAGGTATAATTTTCAAATAAATTAAATAAATTTTCAACCTTTTAAGCTAAAAAGTTGTATAAAAATGTTGTATTAATAACAAAAAAAATCAAGAACTTAATTATAAGCTGTTGCCAGGAGCGCAAAGTTCTATCGATTTTTAGGGACTCCACGACTCCAAACTCCGGAGTCTAAAATTAGAGACTCCTTAGACTCCGGACTCCAATTTTTTTTGAGTTAGGGATTTTAGGGATAAAACAGTCTCTGTAGACTATACAATGTTTCTTTTATGTTGTAACAAATTATAAACTATTTTTAAATTTATCTATTTGTTCAAAAAATAACTATTTCTTTTAGCTTTCTACTAATATACTTTATTTAAAGAACTTGATAACTTTAAGCGTACATTCCGTTTAAAAAAATAGAGAAAGTCACACCAATATACAAAGTAGGTAATACAACTAGTGTTACAAATTTACATCCAATCTCTATGTTTGATATTTTTTCAAAAGTTTTATAAAACTTTTAAAAAAACAAAACTATATAAAAATTTTTCTATAGAGAAAATTTTATCTAATTTCATTTTTAATCACCCTACTAATAATATAGTATATGTCAATCAATACGGGTTAAAAAGAAAACTCCACAGAACACGTTATTCTCCAAATTTCATGAAGCATTGCTGAATCTTTTCAAATTTCCCAATATACGTTGAGAGTTTTCATAGATTTATCGAAAGCTTTTAACACAATTAATCATAATTTGATCATCCAAGAACAAGTTTAAGTTATTTAAAGTCTTTAAAGGTAGAAGGAACAAGATTTTATATAGAATTATGAATTTTTTGGTAAATTTTAATGAAAAATAAAGTAGAAGTCAGATAAACTGCACTGCCAAAAGTCCACCTATGAGCTTCTGTCTGTTGCTATGATGCATCTAAACTTGCATCTAAAAATGCATTTGCTAAAAGTGAGGTAGAATGGATTAACGAAGCTTTCATCAAATTTGTACAATGTGTAAACGAGTCTTCATTCATTTCTTATTTAAGAATTTTAAATTTTATTCTTTTAAATTTAAAAGATATAAAA